GGGTGGTTCAGTTGGTTGAGTATCTGACTCTTGATTTAGACTCAGGTCATGCTCCTGGGGTGCTGGGATTGGCCTGCTTTGGGCTCCATGCCCAGCATGGAGCCTGTTTGGGATTCTTTCTCTCCCCCTCTTCTCCCCCTCCCCCCACTCTCTCTCCATCCGTCTGCCCTGCTCCTATGCACACTTTCTCACAAACAAACAAACAAACCAACCAACCAGGTTTTGCTGCAAGACAGGTTTGTAAAAGAGAAACTTAAAACAGCAAATCCTAGAGCTACAACATGGAGCAGGACCAGGATTAGGGAGCCTTCTGTTACCTTTTTTTTTAATTTTTAATGTTTTATTTACTTCTGAGAGAGAGAGCATGAGCAGGGGAGGGTCAGAGAGAGAGAGGGAGACACAGAATCTGAAACAGGCTCCAGACTCTGAGCTGTCTGTCAGCACAGAGCCCCACGTGGGGCTCAAACCCACGAACTGTGAGATCATGACCTGAGCTGAAGTTGGAAGCTCAACCGAATGAGCCACCCAGGCGCCCCTTCTGTTACCTCCTTCTATGCACACACAGTCATCACCTGAATGTGTCCCCTCCCCCCTTGAGTTAGTTACCTCACCTCTTTAGGCCTCATCTGCAAAATGAGAAATGCCCTCTGGCTACAAAACACCACAAAGTAAATGTTTTGCCTTGAGTTTCCTTTCACACTCTGCTCCCAGTGTGGAAGATGTAGCTATTACTACATTCCTATAACCTTATTTAAATTTTTTAAAAATCCATGAGTAAGAAGGATGGGTGGTTCAGTCGGTTAAACCCAGGTCATGAGCACCCCCCCCCCCCCTGCCCGTTCATGAGTTCAAGTCTTTCGTTAGGCTCTGTGCTGACAGTTCAGAGCCTGGAGCCTGCTTCGGATTTGGTGTCTCCTTCTCTCTCTGCTTCTAACCGAGTTGTGCTCTTCTCATTCTCAAAAATAAATCAACATTAAAAAAAAAAATTTTTTTTTTACTTTTATTTTTTTTAAGATTTTAAGTAACTGCCACATCCAACGCAGGGCTCAAACTCACAACCCTGTGGTTGTGTGCATTACCCAATGACCCAGGCACTCCTAAAACACAAATTTTAATCTTACTCTTTGTGCTTTCTCCTCCCTCAGAAAATTAAATTAAACCTAAATTCCATTAAGTTACAGGAAATAGTGATAGTGTAATGTTTAAAGTGCTTAGAGCTATATTTTTGGGTCTACCACCTAAATCAAGCAAATCATTGAATCTCTCAGTGCCTGTTTCCACATAAGGATAATAATACCTGCCTCATGAGACGAGGAGGAGAATGAAATAATGCATTCTGCACAGGGCCTGGCCAGAGAGTCAAAGCCTGGCAAAATTGTTTTTATTTTTAGTCTATTTCCATTTCTCCATTTGCCCCCTTCATCTTCCACGCATGCATATTTGTGTGTCTACACACATGTGTGCATGATATGTATACTATATTTTTATTTTTTAATTTTAAGATTTAGGGGCGCCTGGGTGGCTTAGTCAGTTAAGCTTCCGACTTTCGCTTAGGTCATGATCTCACGGTTCGTGGGTTCGAGCCCCGCGTCGGGCTCTGTGCTGACTGCCAGCTCAGAGCCTGGAGCCTGTTTCAGAGTCTGTGACTCCCTCTCTCTCTGACCCTCCCCTGCTCACGCTGTCTCTCTCTCTCTCCTAGAAATAAATAAAACATTAAAAAAAAATTAAGATTTTATTTTTAAGTAATCCCTACATCCAACATGGGGCTTGAACTTGCAACCCTGAGATCAAGAATTACATGCTCTTCTGACTGAGCCAGCCAGGTGTCCCTGATATGTATATTTTATTTTATTTTATTATTTTATAATGTTTATTTTTGAGAGAGACAGAGTGTAGGCGGGGGAGGGGCAGAGAGAGAGGGAGACAGAATTCGAAGCAGGTTCCAGGCTGAGCTGTCAGCACAGAGCCCGATGTGGGGCTCAAACTCACTAACTGTGAGATGATCTGAGCTGAAGTCAAAAGGCTTAACAAACTGAGCCACCCATGTGTCCCGATATGTATATATTTTTTTCCGATATGTATATTTTATAATCATATGTATTATAATCTCAGCCACAGGGTTTTCTAGTTGGAAGGAATTTATAGATCAAGTCCAAACTTTTGTTTTATCTTTGAGTATGTATGATTTTTACATTTGTATTCTTTTTGTCAGACTCAGGGTCTGACAGAGTGATGGAGTGGTGGAGTGATCTGGTTAATGACAGAAATGATATTCCAATCTGAGAGTCCTGGCTTGGGGCTGCATTCTTTTTGTCTTCCATGCAACATTATTTTATTTAAATAATAACAATGATAATAACCATTTCCTCTCAATATCATGAGATATTCCATAGGTTCTGGGTTCTCAGGAATTATGATATCACAATAATGTGGCTTATTTTCCTGATTGATCTCTCCATAAATTAGGAAGTTTACTGACTTCAAAGAGTCTATTTGACTTCAATGAAAACCCAGTGATCATCTAGACAGAAGAATCTGCTTCAAGAAATAGGCAAATTCTTCACATTGTACATGTTAAGTTTTCAGATATTGATTTCACTAATATATAATCTGATCTTAGAGCCCCTGTGCAAAGGCCCGTGCTCTATTTTATATTCCATCATTGACTCACAGTAAGTTCTTGGGCAAGTCACTGACCTTCTCAAATTTCAGTGTGTCAAACTAGCCAAAAAACTGAGTGAAGCATGACCTCACTACAAACTGAGTAGACATGAAAGGTGAGATGCGCTTTGATACATTAAAGAATTACTAAAAGAGAACTTAAGCTAGTAAAACATAAAGAATCATAATAATGAATTTCACTATAATAAAAGTGTTCTAAAATGTATGCGTTTTAGCAAGCAAAGTCATGAAAAAGTTTCAAAGTATTTAATTTGGGTGAAATTGTGTAAATGACAGCGGGAGAATATAATTTTCAAAATATTATTTGCAAAACCATGGCTTGTAGCAATTTAAGCAAAACAATTATAAGGAATGGAAGATGGAAGCTAGTGAATCCTCAATAATTAAATGCACTTCATTTCTAGGCTGTTATTTCCCCTTATACGATGTATATTGTATTTTAAAGTATTTCACTAACTACCATATGAAGAACCTGACAAGAGAATACAAATAACCTAGCAATGAAGCGGTTTTAAGATGTGTTTAGCCATTTAGATTTGTAACTCACCAGATTACTGAATATTCTTTAAATTGATTTTCTATTAGTGCCTTTTTCTCTCTCTTCCTAATTCCAACTCTCCCACTGATACATACACTTTATTCCCACTCAGGTCCCCCCCCTCCCCTGCAACAAACCTAAACAAACACAAGTTGAAGATGAAGATGAGGAAGAAAGAAGGGGAGGGGGTTAGGGGGAGGAGGAGGAAGAAGAAGAGGATGATGATGATGACGATGATGATGACTGGTAGATGTGTGAAGTGGATAATATCTTTCTGATCTGCAGAGAGAAGGCAACACCATTCCCTGGCTTGCTGCTGCAGCCTCTTTCAACAACAGGTTCACCCTTTCTGCAGCCATTTCAGAAAGAACAACTGGTAGAGCAGTTCACAGAGGTTACCCCAGAAGTCTGGTGGCATCTGCAATGTGCCTGAAGATTTTTCATTTTTTAAAAAATCATCTTTCTGCAAATTTTGTCAGAGCCAGAAACAAACATAACCATGGGAAGACCTTTCTAGCAGAGTTTGTCAATTACGCACTTTGCATTCTCTGATCAAGTAAGCGAATGATAAATTGGAACTGCTGCCCAGACCCTGTAAACAAAAGATCAAATTCTGTGCTCTGCCTTGGCAAGGAAACTAACTGCAGCATTTTGTCAAGATTCTTACAAGTGCTGATTTCAAACAAATTAACTGAAATTGTCCTTTTTCTAGTTTACAGAAAAAGAGAAAACATGAGTAAATTCAAAGATAAAATATTTTTAGGAAAGGAGCATAATCAAGATTGCACATTAAAGTATTATCCAGCTGCATTGTAGAGTCCATTTGTTCCAGCTCTAACCTAGGGGATTCTAAGTGCCTATTTTTCCCCCTTTCTTTTTATGGATTTATGAATAAAGATTTGAGCCTTCTCAGGACCAGGAAAATTAAAAAAATATATCAAAGCATGGGTTTTAAGGTCTATGGAAGATTTCACAGGTACATCAATTTCAGTAGGACTGGGGCCAGGATGAACAGTATTTTCCATAGGAAACAAAACGGGGGAGAGATCTTATTCAGGCATACAAAAAATACTCAGTGGAAACGTGAAAACATTAAAAGAAGACTGGCTAAGCATATGAGCATGACACAAATTTAGCAACTAAGCATACATCATTTGTTTCAGAAACTGCTTCACTTTTTTAAAAGAAAAAAACATCTGACCAATGCCTTGCGCGAGGAAAACTGCCGTGCCCCTTCCAGACCCTCCCCAAGGCAGCTGCGGTGTGCTGTCAGTTCCTCTGTCCCCAGCTCCTTGCCCCAGGACCTCCCGCAGCTCCCCGAACGGAAGGCGGCCAGCTGGGGACCCCGGGGCGCAAGGCCGGGGCGGGGGCGGGGTGCTGGCTGCCCCCGACAACCTGTAAAAGATGTGTGGTGAGGCGGGGGTGTCCCACAGGTGGAGGTGGGGCTCGGGTGAGAGGCGGACAGCTTCTCCTGTCCAGGGCCGTCCCAGGTCGGGGCTATGCAAACACTCCGCCCTTGAGAGTCCCCAGATGGGAGTCTCCGGAGATTCGTCGCTGCACCTGCCGCGGCCCCTGCCCCGAGACCTCGCGCCTCTCGCGGAACCCAACGCGTCCCGGGCCCCAGCCAGGGCCGGCGGCCGGCGCGCGGGAGCAGCGAGAGGCGGGGCGCGGTGGGGGCGGGGCCACGCGGGCAAGGCCCGGCCCCTCGCAGGGCCGCTCGGAGCGCGGCGACCGCGGCCGCGGCGGAGGGATACGGAGCGCCGTATATATACCGCGGGGAGCAGGCTCGCACTTCGGCAGTGGTGCTGGGAGCCTCGCGGGCGCGGCGCCGTTACTCGCAGTCGGGCGGCGGCAGCGGCACAGCGCTGAGCGCACACCGCACCTTAGCAGCAGCAGCAGCAGCAGCCGCCGCGGAGGCACCCCCGCCGTCTCAGCCTCTGCGCTGGTGCAGCCACCCTCGCTCTCTCTGCTCTTCCTCCCTTCGCTCGCACCATGGTAGGTCGGGAGTGGTAAACGGCGGCATAGCAGCTGCCTGCCCATGATTTCTTCCCAAAATTTTAGTTCAGCTCCCCCCCCTTTGGTTGGGGGGGGTTTCCTTTTTTCCGGGTGTTACGCAGCAACTGCGGTTAAGAAGGACGCGTTTCGGATTTGCATGCCGCTTTCCTTGGCCAGGGTTTCTTACTAGATTTTGGTTTCCTCTTGGAGCTGGACTTGGCCGTGGGCTGTCCGCGGGCAGGGGCTCCGGCCGCAGCAGCACCGGGGCCTTCCGCATCCACCTCCCTCCGCCCCCCCCCCCCAAAGCCCCGCAGCACTGCATCCAGCGCGCCGCACCCGGGCTTCCCGCAGCGCTGCGCCTGGGCCGGGGCCCGGCGGGGGGGCGGGCGGGGGAACCGGGCGGGGCCGGGCACTGGATCGCCCACCCCCCGCCCTCCTCCCCGGGCTCGGAGGCGGCGGGTCGGGAGGGCTGCAGAGAATGAATGGGCCCAAGCCAGCCGGTGGCGCACATTGCTCAGGCCGGGGCGCGGGGGGCTTCGTCTGCGTCCGCCTCCTCCCCCACCCGGGGACCCCGCTGGGTCGTCCTGGTCCTGACGCTCTCCCTCCTCCCTCCCGGGGGGCGCGGCGCGGGCGTGGGCTGGGAAGGAAGGAGCCGGGGAAGGGTGGGGTGGGGGCAGGAAGGCGAGGGGTGGGGGGCGGAGAGGGCGGAAGCGGCGGGCCGGCAAGCCCTGCGCCCGGGCGGGGCCCTGCGGTGTGGCCGGGGCTGGTGTCTCCTTGTTTCGCACCCCTGCAGCCCCCCACCCGGTGCGGCAGTGAAGGCGTGCGTGATCCTCGGTACACCGGGAGGTCCCTTCCCGCGGGAGGCGCTCGGCTCGCGCTAATTGGGGCGGGGGGGGCGGGGGAGGAGGGAGCTGGCGCGCGGCTCGGTTTCCATTAGAGACACAAAGTTTCTGCTCCAGGAGGAGGCGGCGGCGCGGCGGGCTCGCCGCCTGGGGGAGCAGAAGCGGGTGGGAGGCGCGGGGCGGGCTTGGCCCCCTCTCGTCGCGCGGTCCCCTAGCGGGGGTGGGAGTGGGGGGTGGCCTTGGCCTGGGAGGGGCGGTGTCCCCGCCGTGGGGCCGCCTCGCTCCTCCACACCCCGCCTGCCCGCGGGGCACGCACCCCTGCCTGGCCCCTCGCCACTTTGCAGTCCGCAGGGAGATGCCCTCCACGTTTCCGCTTTCTCTGCGGCCTCTAGATTGCCAGATGCGCCTGTGCGCCTCGCTGGGTGTGTTTTCTACAGCCCCCTTCCTCCCTTGGGCGGGCAGGGCTGACATCACTCACAGCGTTTTCTGGTTTGGCAGGGTGGGGAGGTTTGGGCACCTTTGCCCCTAGGTTGAGCGACTTGGGGGCCGTATTTCTTTGTCGAATAAGGCTGATGCTCCAACAAGAGAGGTTTGCGGTGAGGTGGGACTGTGCGCCCCCCCCCATGAGGTGACAGCTCTTGCGAGGTGTGGCATCGCTTCCTGTCGTACAAAGACAGATGTTGTCTTGACGTTACATAAATCATCGTGTCTCCTTTCGATATACAGAAAAGTGTCTTACTGGTGATGGGTGGAAAGGAAGGAAGACCCAATTCTAATATGAAAAAATAAGTTTCCCCCCAAATCAATATATTGGAACACCATTCTTATTGGTAAAGTTTTCATTTAAGAGTTTGAGTAAACATGACTTGGTTAGCTTTCTGTTAGGACTTTGTAGCTGGCTTCACTAGGCGTCCTTCATGAAAATAAAAATACATGGGCTCTCTCGGCGTTCTCAGATTCCCCTGGCTGGAGGCACAGGTACAGTGTTGCAGAAATCAGGCAATACAAGTGAGAATTATCTTCATGGCCATTACCGCCTCAAGTGAAGTGTTTATTACGAGCAGCTCTTGGTAGATTGGCAGAGTAAGTATTCTCTAGCAAAGTTAATAGAGACTCCTTTTCCAGAAAAGAGAAGATACAGCCTTATAATTGTGTACTTTCGTGTGTACTTAACGTTTGCAGTTTTCTAACAGCTCAGTTGTAGGATGGTTCCATTTTTTTCCTGGCTTCTTCCTCAAAGATAATTTGAGGGCATCAGCCATAATAAATGGTAGGCTTTTAAGACATAACTGCCTAATTTAAACAGAAAGCATTTATTACATGGAAATCAAGTTGGGTGGGGTAACCCATCGCCATATATTTATTTTTTCCCCCCACTTAATTGTGTCTCATAAAATAGATCTAAAAGCCTGTTAATCCACCCCAGTGCCATTATATAACGCCTATTTGGAGATTTTGGAGCGCCCGCAGCAATGCGCAAGGTGCGCTAAAAGCTTGCCCCCTGGACGCGATCGCTGTGGTGACAGCAGCATCAGACAGGGATCATTCTTGGATGGAATGGGGACTGCGGTGTCCCTGGCGCAGTAGGTGGCGCTCTTCTTTCTCAGAGCTTGAGGCTGCATCCTATGCGGTGTTGGCTTTTGCCACTAGAGGTGCCATTTTTCAAATGATGAACTGACCCTTAGGGAGACCTGCAAGCACACAACGAAGAATACCTAAAGTACCATGTTGTCACTTCTTTGTCACCCTTTGTTTTTAAAATAGCAGAAAGTGTTCCCTTTATTCTAATTGTTTTCGTTCAAGGGCAGTGCTGCCGTTTTTGGGGTGGTTGGCTTTTTTTTTTTTTTTAAGCTTGATTTTTTTTTTTTTGAAAGGTAAATATTAAAAGTATAATTGGGAAAACTGTGTTGCCCTCAGTCAACTCTTGTGTGCTGAGTTATTATCTCTTCTTTCTTTATGTAGGCCGATCAGCTGACCGAAGAGCAGATTGCTGGTAAGTTGATGACTCCAGGGAGTCCCAGCAGGCCAGAACGAGGCACGACTCAGTGTGGGGGACTTCTCTGACCCTTCCACCCCACCCCCCTATAATCTGAGCAGTTTTCTAGGAATTGATTTAAATGGGAACAAGATGCAGAAATATTTCGGTCAGGTGTGAATACCTTGCTGGTGGTTCAGAGGCAACGTGGAAGGAAGGGGGGGGTGGGAATGCTTGTGCCGCCCTGGAGCGTCTGAGCACTGTGGTGTTCAAGGTGCTGCACGTAACGAGACGGCACGCAGTCTGCTACTCACAGGTGCAGTTTAGAACTCTTAGGGCCCGGGTCTTTCAGTGATTCACCATGAAGGCTTGGGCTTGCTGTTTGAACACACATGGGAAAATGAGTGTTAAGACTACTGTAATAATCGGAAAGGGAGTTAGTTTGGATTCTTAGCTTTCAGTATTCCTTGGAGGACTTTTTTGAGGATGATTCACTTCAGGAAACCAGGAATATGCCTTTGCAGTGTTAAGTGCCACGTAGCGAGAACACCCCGGTGACCTGGGAATGCACGTTTCCAGGAACCCCTTCCTGTTGTTATGAGAGCAGGCGTTCTCGTGGCTGGAGACCTTTGACAGGAAGGGGCCTGACGGGAGCACGCATACCCATTTTCACTTGTCAGATTGGACTGAGGACTAACTGAAGTGTGTTTAAGCTTCATTTTCTTTAAAAACGTGAGACTACTATGGTGTTGTGGAACCGGTCGCCAGGAGCGGTATTTGTTTGACGGACTGCTGCCTGGAGGCCGGTCCAGTAGGACTATCATGGTCTATGTTTTAGCAGATAAAAGAGCAGGCAGTTTCGGACAGTACCCAAGCTTGGACGGTTTGCTTTGGCAAGCCCGCGGAAAGTGTGTTGTGCGAGGCTGGGTTGGATAACGACGTTCGTTCTAAAGGGTGCGCTTTTGTTTTCAGAGTTCAAGGAAGCTTTCTCCCTATTTGACAAAGATGGCGATGGCACCATCACCACAAAGGAACTTGGAACCGTCATGAGGTCACTGGGTCAGAACCCAACAGAAGCCGAATTGCAGGATATGATCAACGAGGTGGATGCTGACGGTGAGGGCTTAGACCTATGAACGTGCGCCAGCGTTGTGTAATTCAAGTTCAGACATGTCACAAGATTGTCTTTCAGGTCCCCAGAGCAAAGCAAATGCACAGCAGGCCTTTCGGTGGTTGCCTTACAGCCGTTGACAATGAAAATAGAAGACTATGGGCCTGCCTTTGGCCGTGCTCACTGTCTAGAACGTTTCCTGGATCAGATCGCTGAATTGTTCTTTTCTACTTGCCCGTGACCTACAGCTCAGTCTTTTATCAACTGGCCCATGAGTCTGCTCTGAGTCCTGTGGGGGAAGTAAGGAAAAAAAAAAAAAAAAATAGCCGTAGAGCTTTTAAAAAAGCTTACTGCCTGTCTCTAAGAGGAGTAGGAAGAAAAGGGTGGGAAAAGACCACCGTTAGAATTGAGGGCAGGCATGAGCTGTGGATGTGTTTATTACAGAGCATTTTAAGGATCGTGAAGCTTGGAGAGATGGGGTGCTTGATGACTGTTCGGAGTAGATTTCTAGAACCTACCAGAAGAAGATGAATAAGGTGCAGAGCAAGAAGGCACAAGCAGTAATCCCTGTAACAGTTGGTCACCAGTTGGTCATCCATTCCTCTGGACTCTAGAAGAGTGGACAGTAGACCTTTGATTGCTCATGTCCATGAGTAAACAATCTCTGAGCAGTCCCCTCTTGAAAAGAAATGTATTTTTGGAAACCGTATACACATGTACTGTATAACATTGTAGAACCTGGGTAATTTTTCGAAAGATGAACTAAGAATAAACAGTCTGGATCTAGACCTTATTCTAGATGATTGGCTTGATGGTAGCTATTTAAACAAATGGGGTATCATGAGGTGGTAAAGTAGACTTAAACTTGGCTGATCACCTACATTTCGAAGCAGGGGTTTAGGGTGAGCTCTTTAACAAGTGGTGTCAGCCCATTGGGGCTACTTTGAAGAGTTTTCATCCATGTTATGTTATTTTGGAAGAGACAGTGTTCATCTCTTTTGTTTGAGTGCTAAGGCCAACATGGAGTGGCCACCCCCTTTTTCATGTGAAGCCTGGAAAGCTGCTTAGGGACTCGCACTGGCAAAGTATATTGGGCCCTTAGATTGTATGGAACGAGGAGAGCGGAGTTGTCTCAGGCTACAGATTCTAGCGTTTGCAATGAAAGTGTGATGCCTGAGGATGTCTTCTCTGCATGGCTAGGAGATAGCATTTCAAATAATTTTTGTCTTGCATGAATATCATTAATGCTTTAAAAAGTTTCATTAATGCTTTAAAATTTTGGAGGCCAAATGACTTGAATGGATCTCTGAATTACTATTTTGATTTAAAGGTACTTGCTGGTGAAAATGAGTAACTTAACCTAAGGATTTTTTTTCCTCTCGTTTAATTTTGTTTGCATTTAATTCAAGTTACACTGTTAATCTGGTGGCTTGTCTTTTGGAGGTGGTTCACAGAACTCTTAGTTGTAGAGGGGAAGTTGTTGGGAATACTGGCTGTAGAACAGATTCTCCTGCACTGTTTTCCTAAAGGTTAACGGTCTGAGCTATGAAAACACTTCGAGCCTTACCCTTAATGGGAAAGAAACAAAGTTGTGGAGTTGGAGAGAAAACGATTTGGTGACTTACCATGTGGTTGAGAAACACCTTCTGGAGGAGACTTTGTGACGCTTTATGGTCCCCTCCCGCAATCCTTCCTTCTGTGAAAACATTTTGTCGTATTGGCAGGCTCGTTCCGGGCCTTTCCCAGCGTCACCGGCCAAGGCGACATTAGGGCCGAGTGATCTCCGAGGCCTCTCCCAGGAATGGAAGGGTGCTGTGTGCTCCTTCCTTTTGAACTGTACAGCCCCGGTTCAGTGGTCAGGATGCCACGTGTGGCATCATTAAATGCTATCCCAGGCACCAATAGCTCATTTGAAGCACATGAATCATGTGAAATTACTCTGCCAAGTATTTAAACAGTTTAGACTTATAAATGGCTTTACCTAATAAATAAAATAATTTACCAGTTGGTCCCAGGGAGTCTTCAGCCTTTCCATAAAGTGCTTTTAAGATGATCACTGCCGGGTAGCATTACTGGAGCACTTCTTTAATGTGAGCTTTTGTTTTTTAATTTAAGGTAATGGCACCATTGACTTCCCAGAATTTTTAACTATGATGGCTAGAAAAATGAAAGATACGGACAGTGAAGAAGAAATTCGTGAGGCATTCCGAGTCTTTGACAAGGTAATCCTGCATCTGTTTTACAGACGGTACTTACATATGGCTTTTTTTTTTTTCCTCTTGTTTCTAAAAGCTCTGACAATCTGTCCTGTAGCTAGAATGCTTAAAGCTAATTCCTGGGGCCCTTTCTCTCCTTTTCAAATACCCCGACTTCCTGCAGCAATCTTACTGGGTGAGAGTAAGCATAATAAGTAGTGGCGAATTCTGAGCCAAGTTCTTGATTGTTACTTTCGGATCGTTAGGTTTCGCCAAGCCAAGCCCCTGCATTTTCTAGGTCCACTGAGTGTATGCACGTAGTCTGGGGAGGGCGGGGGGCGCCGGAGATGTGCAGCAGGCTGGATGCAGAATTGGCAGCACTGGGAGAGGGCATGAGTAAGCCACAGACCTGCTCAGCCGCCGCGATCAGTAACCCTGCTCTGTGTTCCCAGGATGGCAATGGGTACATCAGTGCGGCAGAACTACGTCACGTCATGACAAACTTAGGAGAAAAACTAACAGATGAAGAAGTAGATGAAATGATCAGAGAAGCAGATATCGATGGAGATGGACAAGTCAACTATGAAGGTAAAATGTCATTTTTCCTTAGCTTGGTTTTGAATAGACCTCCCCTTGATGTCTGTCAACAAGTTAACTGCTTCGCTAGGCATTTTTATTTTTATTTTTTTAAGGCAGAATAGAGCTGTTGTGTTCATGAAAGCTACTTTTGAATATAACCCAAAGCTATGATTATTTGTCTTTTCAGAATTCGTACAGATGATGACTGCAAAGTGAAGACCTACTTTCAACTCCTTTTTTCCCCCCCTCTAGAAGAATCAAATTGAATCTTTTACTTACCTCTTGCAAAAAAAAAAAAAAAAGTTCATTTACTCATTCTGTTTCTATATAGCAAAACTGAATGTCAAAAGTACCTTCTGTCCACACACAAAATCTGCATGTATTGGTTGGTGGTCCTGTCCCCTAAAGACGAAGCGCTACACATCAGTTTTACGATATAAATACTTGTACTACCTTAACAATAAGGAAGCACTTAGTGGACTCCTTGCAGTTCCATTTGCTAACGATTACTGCACTGTTTGGGCTGGCCAGTTTTTCATGCATGCAGCTTGACGATTGAGCACAGTCAGGCCTTTGTATTAAAAACGAAAAAATGAAAAAACAAAAATTTAAAAAAGCCTATTCCACATGGGTTCTAGTTCAATTTGTTGAGTATAAATTGTCATCGCTGGTTTACCGAAAGCAAACCTTAAAAATTGGGTTACCTCGGGATGCTGTGCAGAAAAATGGGTGAAGGATAGACTGTCCGGACGCAGCCCCCCCAGAGCAGGGCGGCCCCCTGTACTCCCGCGCGCCCCCACCCGTGTGGTGACGGTGACATCCTGCCGGCATGCCGCGTGTGTGTTGGTTTTAGCGTTGTCCGCCTCGTGCCAGAGCGAGACAGGTGTCCGGCTGTCACCATTCACGCACATTTTTAAAAAGAAACCTTTACCAAGGGAGCATCTTTGGACTCTCTGTTTTTAAAACCTCCTGAACCGTGACTTGGAGCCCGCAGAGGTAGGCTGTGGCTGCGGACCCTTCAGCACAACCGTCAACATTGCTGTTCGAGAAAGTACAATAACGTCCATTCCAAGTTGTAAATGCTAGTCTTTTTTTTTTTTTTTCCAATAAAAAGACCATTAACTTAAAGTGGTGTTAAATGCTTTGTAAAGCTGAGATCTGAATGGGGACAAGGCAGTTGGAGGAGAAGATGGTACCATTTAATGCCCACAGCCCGGAATCAGGCTTCTTGCCCTCCCAACGTCACAGCACCGACCTCTGAGCCTGAGACCCTGCCTCAGTGCAGGCAGGTAGCAAGTGCTTCATCCTATCCTTGGGCATGTAGGTCTACCTGTATTTTCACTGGGGGGAGGTGGGGAGCAAGCCCTGGGGACTTTGTGATTATTCAGGCAGCGGAGCTCTTAAGGAAGGAAAAGAAAAAACAAACCCCACTTTTTCTCAAGCATGTACTTGGGTTCTGCCCAGTCGTGCTGCTGATTACCTGTTTTATGTAACTACTTGAGACCATCTGTGCAAGAGACCTGGTTTAGTGTGTCAGTAACTCGATCCTCGCTATGTGGTAGGAGCAGTCTGCGTGCCTAAGAGACACTACCGGTCACTTTTGATTGATGATTTTTAATTTATGCTACTTTCCTTAGCTTCCTTTTCCTTCTCCCCCTGCCCACACCCCAGTTGACACTTTGCTTTCTATCTCCCCCCGCCCCCAGCCCAGCTGACACTTTGCTTGCTTTCTCCCAAGTAGAACTAATGCTGGTCCCCAGCCTGAGAGTAAAAACTCCAGCCTGGAGGGAACTTTGTGTCTAATTATAAACCTGTAACCAAAACTGAGATGCTGGTACTGGTCTTTGCAATGGGATGGGCGTGCTTTAAAAGCCCCTTTAAAGACATCATGCATGTAGTGTAGGACTCTTGAAGTGAAGGCTGGATGTGCATTTTTCAGGGTGTTCACTGGTCCTATATTACCAGTAAAGAGATGGGCGTTTTGAGAGTTTTTGTGGGTGGTTTCAGTTTGCCTGGGAACAGCGGCAGGCTGCCAGCGAGGCAGCGAGAAGCTCTTGGCAGCCGAGTGGGTGCGTTCAGGGCTGATTTATAGAGACCCTTGGCTTCTCCCTCTCCTACTCCCTGTCTTTCTGGCATTGTGCAGCCTGTTAGATTTGCTGCCGGAAGGATAGGTCCGAGCCGTGGAGAGGAGCCCACCCATCTGCTGCTGCTGGTCCTTAGACTGGGTGGTTGTAGAAGAGAAGGTGACCCTGAACTAGGGATGGCTTTTGGGATTCCCTGGATCCGGAGGGAGCACCTTGCGAGTTCTTCGCGAGGACTGATGGCTCCCAGATGTTGTTTCTTGCAGGCAGGCCAAGTGTCGGCCCATCTAGGGCCGTGTTCAGTGGCCTCTTGGCCGTTTCAGAGAGGGATGGGGGTGATTTAACTTGCTTTGAAAACTTTGCCTTCTGTCTTAACTCTTTTCGTCAAGTCTTTTTCTAGAAGCTGGGTGGGCTCCATCTTAGTGGTCCCACAGTCCTTCCTGAAAGACTGTTCACGAAGTCAGATTCTTAACATGGCCAGCATCCTGGACGGGAAGCGAAGCCTTTCCCCCAGGGAGTGCGGAGTCCCGGCTCAGTGCGGAGGGGGGCGGCTCAGTCCGCCGCAGCCTTTTTCCCTCTGGCCTTTGAGGGGATGAGCGGCCCAGACTGGGTGTTTGCAGGCTGCATGAGTTTGTGAGAGGAAGTAGCCGGGTGCGGGGTCCGTACCCTTCACGTTGGTTAGCACCTTCCTGTAAACTCTTGCCCCTACTTTTAACTGCTCTATAAATATATACATATATTTATATATATAAAGTGACTAGTTTAACTGGCATCCCGCTTGAGCCTGAGACTTGCCATAAAAAAACTGCTGAGTACTTGGCAAACACTTTCATAGTCTTGTTCTCCATCTGTTTGGGGTAGGTGTTAAGCAAGGCAAATGCATCTCGATGTTTCAGATGGGCTTTTGATGCATTGTTGCCAAGAAAGACTTTTTTTTTTCCTGATTTTTAGACCAATGAATTTTTGCACACTTTAATTGGTGTCTTTTGGCAACACACGGAAAATTAGCGACTGTACATATTTTTATATTCTCTTTCTAAATGCATGTCTGACTGTACTTCTAACCTGTATCGTAACGAGTGGCCATCACTAGGCCTCCCGAAGTGCCGCGTGGCACATCAGTAGCAACATATTATTGGGCCCCGGTATCAGCGTGCTGGGAACTTCTTCCTAAACCAAGAATGTAAATTTGGTCAAGGGTCTGCTCTTGGTTCATTCAATTATTTTAAACCTCTGAACTAATATTGTATATCCTAAATACATTATCCTTTTGACAGTGACTAGGATCCCACGAATGTGTCTTAACCTATCCTTTTTGCCGACCTTTTCTCTCTCTCTCTCTCTCTCTCTCTCTCTTAAACCCCTGAAGTTGTCTTGTAGGAGACAGAAATCCTTTGCGGTCTGTATCCCTCCGAGTAAGAAGGTAGTGGCGTGGGCGGGGTGTGTGTTTTTCTCCAGCCCTTCTACTGTTCATTAAACACGTCTGTAGCCACCATGGCGGTAGTTCTGTTACCGAAGTTAACCCTTCACCATGGCGATTTGAAAAGGAGATGTACTTGAATGTTTCTGTAAATCTTGAGATAAACTGTCTGGAGATTTAACCACCTCTCTGATGGGGGACCAACTCTATGGAAATTGTACATAAGTTTTATTTATAAACCTGGCACTGTATTCAATAAACATTTCTGCAGCCTTTCATCTCTAACTGCGAACTGTGTAGGTTTTTAGCCTGTATAGCCTCCGATCCCTCCTGCTTAACAAGGGACACCCGCCCTCAGGTGTAATTCCACGCAGGCTCTAGGACCGTAGGCGAGCATGACGGGCCAGAAACGCCACAGACACATCCCACCACAGCTTTGCTCTAGTTTTAAGTTCAAGTGATGATAGCTGACATTTGAACACCATCTCGTGGCCTATCACTGTATCTGTGCTTGCTTTATGCAGAAAACTCCCACCACAAAAAGTTTTTCTCTTTAACCTCAGCATTAATTCCAAGTGTCTTGAGGAATTGCATGAAGAGATAACACTTTACAAATCGGACAGGAATTTTATACATAAGCCCATATGCCTCTGCCCATGTCAAGAGCAGGGCAGCTGAGGAAACGAGGTGGGCTGCAACTTTACAGCCTTGGAGTTGAAACCTCCTTAATCGGTCCTGTTCTAGACCCTGGTCTTAGACAAAGTTCTCAGGCGGGAAAGGCCACCTGTTTCCTGAAGGATCTTTTCCAGGCTGTGTTGCCCCGTGTGCTTCTGCACAGAAGCAGTGAGAGGGCCAGAGAGAAGGGAAAAGATCCCAGGGAAAGCCCCTGCTTTGGTCAGAAGGCTTGAGACCCACTTCCAGGGAGCATTTGGCCCCTCCTGTGTACAGGAGCTGAACTAAAGGACATGGACACCGGCATGGGGACAGAGCCCTCTGCCCCACATTTCAGGCCTGGCTCTTTGTTTTTGGTTCCGTTCCTCTGTAGCAGTGGGCAGGTGCTTTCCTTCTCTGGGCCTCAGTTTCCTCCTTGGTAAAATAAGATTTTTAGACTAGGTGGCTTTCTAGGATTCTGGCCAACCCAGCTTGGCATCACTTGGTGTTTAAATTGAAATTGCAGCCTAAGGAATGGGAGGCAGAATAGTGTGGGCGTGCTGAACGCTCCGAGGTGACAAATGGGATTTTTAAAGTGTCAGCAGCTCCATGTTGGGAGTGGAATGAGGGGTAAGCTTGCTGTTAAGACTGACGTGGGGCACCTGGGTGGCTCAGTTGAGAGTTCGACTCTTGATTTCGGCTCAGGTCATGATCTCATGGTTCACGAGATGAAGCTGTGTTGGGTTCTGCGCTGACAGCGAGGAGCCCGCTTGGGATTCTCTCCCTCCCTGCTCCCTCTCTCTGTCCCTACCCCCACTCATGCTTTTTCGCTCTCTCTCAAAATAAATAAATATATATAAAGACTGTGATGTAATATTGGAACGTGGGTCAGAGAAGCTGATCATTAAGTGACTTCCATCCTCCTCCGGGGACAGAAATAGGAAGCTCCCACTCTGCCTGCAAGGGATTCAGTCCGAGTGGCAACGTCATCTGGATTTTCAGTAGCTTTGGTTCAGGAAACACACACACACACACACACACACACATGCATATGCACACGCACATTTCCGATTTGAGCTGAACTTCCCCGGGCACTGGGGGCTGGAGCACCCAGTGACTCAAGATGCCTTAGAAGGAAATAAAACTTGAAAGTTTTTTATAGCTTGGAACTTCTCTCCCACTGCCCTCAGCCTCTGCCAGGGAGCAGGAGGAATTAGCTCAGGCTCCAGAACCCCACGGGAGAGCAGATGAGGCTGGAGGGGCCGGCTGCTTTCCCGCATCTCCCATTGACAATCCCTGAACTTGAATTAAAAAAAAAAGGTGGCAGTTTCCTTCAGAAGAATTATGTTTTGCCTCTGTGTCAGCAACCTTTGGAGTGAGTATGTATTTACACACTCAGATATTATTAGAAATGTCTCATTTGAAAGTTTTATTTTCACTTTTACAGAGACGAAGGGGGAAAATCTGGAGGTACTTACACTAGGAAGATAATTTCTTAAATTTTGTTTTATCATCTTTCTATCCTGCTGGTACGTAAATGTGCAGTTTGCTTTCAATTTTTTTTTAATGTTTTGTTTTTTGAGAGAGACAGAGTGCAAGCAGGGGAGGGACAGAGAGAGGGGGAGACATAGAATCCGAAGCAGGCTCCAGGCTCTGAGCTGTCAGCACAGAGCCCGAAGCAGGGCTGGAACCCATGAACCCCGAGAGCAAGAATTGAGCTGAACTCAGATGCTTAACCAATTGAGCCACCCAGGCGCCTCTACGGTTTGCTTTTAAGCTAATTTCCTTCCCCTTGTTGGGTCTTAGTATACCCTTCAAGTTGTGACTTTGTTTTTTAATTACTGTGTTTTAGAGTAAAAGATTTTTCCTCCCACAGAGATTGGTACCAGAGGCAAGATTTGAGATAATAGATTATAAAAAGAAAATGAGAAATAAATGAAGTAATTATAAACTAATACTTTAGTTAAAAGGACTAGATCAGGGGCGCCTGGGTGGTTCGGTCTGTTGAACGTCTGACTTCGGGTCAGGACATGATCTCACAGTTCCTGGGTTCAAGCCCCGTGTCGGGCTCTGTGCCAACAGCTCAGAGCCTGGAGCCTGCTTCGGCTTCTGTGTCTCCCTCTCTATCTGCCCCTACTCTGTTCGCACTCTGTCTCTGTCTCTCAAAAATGAATAAAAGTGAAAAAAAATTTGTTTTTAAAATTTTAGGACTAGATCATACATTGTAGGTCAAACTGTCACTGCGAAATACCCATATCTGGTGACTCTCAAACTTTTGGGACTACTTGACCATGACAAGAACCTTGTGACCTCCACAGGCAGCCCAGTCCCATTTTACAAAAACATGTTTGTGATTCTAAAAGAAATGTGTATTACATAAAATCTGTGATATCAAATGACCCCACTACCCTGTAAAATATACTCAACACTTATTTAGTATTTCCTTCCTGAATTTTTTCTCACCGTATGGGTAAAGAGAGACAATTGACAAAATTGGAATCTGTAGGTATGGTTTTTAAAAATTAAGCATAATATTCCTTATTATATACAATCACATTGTGTATATTATGTAACATATAATCTTTTTATTCTTATACGTTTTTCTTGATCTATAAT